CATTCTCCTGCATTCCAGGTCAGTCTGACTTAATCTCAGTCAACACACAGGTGAAAAGATTGGTGGGAATGGATAAAGAGTGGAGATGAAAAAGAAAAGACATGGTTTTGCAAGTTGGCATGCTGCTTAAAGCTTCAACACCACATCAGCCTCTTTGACAGCCAAGTGACTGTACCAGCTTATTGAACAGAACTAGCATTTAAAGCAGCTGGCGCTCACAATCTTTGTTACTCATTGGGTACTGGGAATAACGTGTGGGCCTGTACATGTGTGTGTGAAAAGGAAAGACAAGAAGGCAACAATAAGCAATTACAGTCATGTGCATTTGCATGTGGTAGTCACTCTTGGTTTGTTTTATCAGAGTGGGCAGTCCGGAATGTTTCGCAGGGCTACAGCAACATAATTACAAAAGCTGTTGTAATCCTTCTTGTTTCTTAAAATGAAATCTCCCATAAGAGGGCTGCAACAAAATTGGGATCACAGAGGCTCTTTCCGACCCAGTGACACAGTTGAAGCGTAAAGTCCTGCACTGGTCTTCAATTTAACTGTGGGCCTTCACGTGAGCTGTCAATTAAAGCTTCAGTTCAGGTTGTCTTCTCTGTGAAATTGCAATTACTAATCCATTTTTATATGTAAAGTATGACACCATCACTGTTTTCCTTCAGTCTGATGTTCCAGCATCTGGTATACATCTGTTACTATGGGAGACGATATACACAGGGTCACAATCCATAATGATTTTATTCACTTTCATGTCCCACTGCCTCACACTGAAACTATTGCATTTTTTACTTTGAAATTACATTGCCAGTACAAAATAATTAAACTGAATTAATTAGGAAAAACATGTATACATAAAATAAAATTTAAGTCCCAAACGAATGCAAACACAATTACAAAAAAACTAAACGGGAGCTCCCTCATCTTTGGGGACTACTTGCATGCTGGAGACGCATGAAATATTATGCCAATGTCATCAGACATCAACAGTAAATTGAACTGAATAGAAAAGCCCCAATGTTGCCTACCCAAATATTTAATTTAGTGTCAGCTTGATCTCAGTATTGGACCGTTGCATTCCTAAAAAGGGCAACCGAAAACAGTGAATAGGGCCTTAGCATGAGCATACAGTTAAGGTTAAAAAAACGTGTAGGTGGTCTTGAAACATGCTGGTAGTATCCTGTCTTATCTCATCTCCTTTGTTCTATTCTTCTTCCCTACTCCTCTTCAGTTCTCTCCGGCCTCTTTGTTAACATTGGCTGACCACAGAGTTAATCACAGCCAGAGCCATTTAACTCTAATCAAGTAATATACTCCCAACGGCCCACATCATTAAACTATCACATTATTTCTTTAGCCATTCCTCTTCCCAAATTGTAGCTGGTCAAACTTTTCCCAACCAATTAACACAAGTCTGTTTCAAGTCAACTGAGTATGACATTTGAGAGCAGTATTCAGGGGTAAGATAGATTAGTAGTACATATAAAAAAAGGGAAGTAAAGATACTAAGTGTGGGCTTGAAGAAAGCAGCTCAAGGATCAGCTGGCCTCATAGTTATGCGTTATTAATGTGTTGTGTGGTCGCCACCTCGTCTGGCTCGAGGGAGCTATTTATGTGACTTTCTGCTTGGCTCACATTACCAGACTGTTGAGCATCGAGGGTCTAGGTTAAAGCCTGGGTCGTCCATAGGTCGTTCTGTGCGTGTGAAAGTTAGGAGCACAAAGAAAAGTAGAATAACAGCAAAGAGGAATGCAGGCTTGTGGCTGTTAAACAGAGACCATGGTGTTGCCTGTATTAAGCATTTGTTTCTCGATTTGTGTACAGTTGGTGGATGAGACATGTGAGGCTCTTTTGCCAAATATCCCTGTCATTTTTCATCTGTTTAACCCTAATCTGCTGCTCAAGTGTGGGTGTGGGTGAATGCGCATGTGTGTGATTCCTGGTGTCCATGGGTGTTTTCCTTGGGACTGGCACTAATCCACCTAGCTGTGGACACACACGCACACACTCTCACCAATGATGGATTAGGCTGCTAATCTCTTAGATCCCACAGCATTTGTGCACATGAATGCATGCACGCAAAAACACACACACACACACACACACACACACACACACACACACACACACACACACACACACACACACACACACACACACACACACACCTTACTCCAGTTAAATGGAAGAGACTGCCCTGCTTGTAACATTAGCCGACTGTTAGGTTAGCCAACTGGAAACGTAATGCTCTGTTACAGGTCACCTTTCCTGGACCTTGTGTGTGTGTTTAAAGCTGCACATGTGTGTGGCCCCTCATTGTGAGAGTATATGGAAATGCCTCACTATGTTTTTTACGCATAAAACAAAGCAATCCTCTAGAGTCTAGAGACTGTGTGCCTGGCTGCATCTGGAAGCCTCACACCTCCAAATATCCATTTGTGTGTGTCAAGTGTGTGTTTTGGGCTTCTCAGTGAGTATTGTCCTTTTGCACAGATGTCTTTTGAATGGCAGGCAGCTAGCAGATTGCACTGGAAGAAATGGCCACAGGCCCGTAATACACATACACTCAAACCAGTACAGGCATTTAAACGGCCGTCACAGGGGCTGACAGATTGCAGCGGACCCCTGATTGCGCTGTATGCTATTCCTCCATCAAGCTTCTCTCTCACTCTCCCAATCCTCCCTCTCTTTTTCTTCTCAATTCTGGACTTCACTTCGTCCCCCTTTCAATACATTTTTATTTTTTCATACCGACACACACAAATCAAACAGACTATCATACATGTGTCCTTCTCCAGGTCCAAACTCTCTCTCTTTCTGTTGGTGTGTGGATGTGAGTCACACCATGACCAGTGATAGGGTGCTGAGAGAAGCTCAATGTCACCTTCTCCTCCTATCTGGGCAGCCTGTACTTCACTTTAGTGTTCGAACAAGAAAATTGCCTTTAATTGCTCCACTTTAGAGTTGGCCTGGATGATGCTCTTAAATGGCAGATAGATACAGAAACTTGGTTGACACATAATCAGTGAAGTGCATGGATTCTCGTCATACCTTCATTGACTGTAAAGAAATTGCTGAGATTGCAGTCTGGATGGGGGGGGGGGGGGTTTGCAGTGATAACCTCAGCCCACGTCTACAGTAAATGAAGCTTAGGTGAACACAGAAATCCCCAACATTAACCATGAAAAGGATGTGCCAATAGACACAGGGGCATGCTTATAAGAGTTGTGAGTGAATGTGTGCGCGTCCATTTGTGTGGAAATTTGAGTGAACCCATGTACAGTAATGGACTGAAGAAAGCCATGCAAGAGGATTTCAAAGGTCCGACAAGCAGGGAAGAGAAGAAAGGCAAAGGAATGTCTGGCAGGTAGATGCCTGTCACTGCAGGTCCTTTGGGTGGGGAGGTAGACATTCAGTTAAGTGCCTCTTCCATGGAGGGAGTGAGAGGGGAAATGCTACAACAGTGTGCAGTCTGCCTACAGTATAAATACTGCTAAACATTAAGTGAAGTCAGTGGCACAATAATATCAAATAACAAGGAAGATGACACATTGTCACTAACACATTTTTATCACCTAATTTCTAACTGTAAATCTAGCACTCCTGAGCCAGACATTAAACAGCAATCTTTCTGCCTACATGTGTCCACGTCTTTGGTGATTGTATGTGCATCCTGAAAGAAAGGATTTATATTATTTTAATTAAGTAGTTTATATAATTGAAAGCACAGTATGTGAAAGGGCATCATCAAATGCAGTTAGTTAACTGAACTCGAAAAACAACAAAAAGGGTCACAGGCGTAAGGTGACACAATAATAACTTGCTCCTTGTCTTCAAAATGTATATACTGTATATATATATATATATATATATGTTTTTAAATTCCCCTACATATTAACATCAGCATATAGAAGCACATAGTTATTACCTCTACGCCTGAAGAAGACCACTGAGCTCAAAGGATGCGATCCTATCTGCATACTTGCCACGTTTTTTCGTAATGTTTTTGTCTGCGCACCTTTGTGTATGTCATTGTAACAGAAGCTTTAAAATATTGTTATGTTTGATAAGAAAGGAGCAGTCTATCTTAATTGTATTTAGAAGTACAACAGAATAGTTTAGAATCTATTATTTCCTTTTGCCACCAAAATCCCCTCACTGTGATTTGTGTGCCATGTTCTACATAAATCAGAGCCTTTTTGTAATCATTGTGTGCTTGTGTGTGTACACTGTGGGTTCATAATATGTGTGTGTGAATGCTTGTGTATGGATATTAATAGTGGGGAGGAATCTTTAAAAGTGTCGTACCACATATTATGCTCCCTTCTACTACAAATCACCCACATGATTTTTGTTCGCCGTGGGCTTAGCTGCGTTGATTTGGAAGATATTATTTCTGTCTTACAAATGTTCTTCTCATTTCCGCTGCAGCTAGACTGCTGTTTTAACCAATTTTGACAGCTCTTGTTTGAATTCTCTCATAAGGTATTTGGTTGTGTGTATGTGAACATCACACACTGAGCCAGAGATCCTTTCTACTTCGCGTCTCGTTTCCTGTGTTTGTGTACGCACGTGTTTGCAAATGCATGCAAAGGAATGCGTGTCAGAAGTGCTCATTAAAATTGTATGGGAGCTGTTGCCGTACTCCTGCTCCACTGCTCCCATTTCCACAGAGTTCTCCACGTCTTGCCAGGTAATCAGGCTTGCGAGCACATGCAGCCCTGCCACCTCCACTGCCAGCAAGCAGGGTTTAAGGCCATAAAATCAGCCACGGCCAATTTAAACTGTCATTTACACTGTTGAGTATTTTATACTGCAGCAGTATAAGAACTATTAATCTCAATTTTGTTGAGCGCTGACTGAATTGATAGAAGCTCTTAATGCTAATGCCATGTTTGTTCTCCCTCTTTTTCTCTGCTTTCCTTCAACCCCCTTCTCCAATTTTCCTTGACAATTCCCTTCCCCATCTTTTCCCCTTCTTCCACCTTACCTCTTTCTAGGGGAGCACCTGCGCATCTGTCCCCAGGGTTACACCTGCTGCACCAGTGACATGGAGGACACCTTGGCCATGCTGAGCCGCAGGGAGATGGAGGGACTTCTTAAAGATGCTGGCCGGTCCTTACAGACCTCCCTCAATGGACAGTACAAGGCCTTCGATGGTAAGTTTGTGTATTCACAATACGTGTATGAGGGAATTACATGAGAGAAAAACAATAATCAGCTCATCACACTTGAACATTTGACACATACAAGGACCCAGTTTTGAGTGTTTTTGTGTCCGTTTTAATGGTCTTGCCAGTTTTGGAGTTTTTATTACACATGCCCAGCCAACACAAAATTGCAGACAAACACATACACTGAATATAAGGGTAAGAGATAAGTCAAAGCTTGTGTTGTGTGTTATACACTCACATGCTTCACAGAGGAAGTTGGTAATTCCATGCAGTGGTGTTGACAGAATGCCAAGTTGTTATTGCTATTATTAAAACTTTGAATCCAATTCGCATCCAAAGAAAAGGTGATCCATTTCATCAAATGTGCTTGCCTGTTCCATGCTAGGATTGGATATTATTTGAATTCCATCTTCTGAATTAAATAAGGCTTCATACACTAAACAACTACTACAAATGTCTGGCTTTAACTCTTAGATCCCATGACATATTGCAGTTCCCAACTCAAATCATTCAAGTAAAAAAGGTCCATGTCATAATTGCTGTGATGTGGAGAAATACATTATAGCAAGAGTCTGAATCACTGATTCTACTCTGCACCATAGCAAAATGTTGTTTAAGCTCTTAATAATGTGGAATAAAATCAGTATTTAATTGCAGCACTCCAAGTGTGAGAGAAGGAATGAGAGAGAAAGGGAAGGAGAGGGATTTTCAATCTTAGGAAATTGACGCACCAAGGCAATTATTTGTGTCTAATGACCTGCTCTAGTTAATAGAAGGGTATTTCTGTGCTCCACTTGTTCCCCTCGGCCAGTCAGCGACAATGGATCCGTCAGCCGAGGCTCTGAGTTTGGCTAGTTAGCCTGACCTTTTCAGATCACAGTGATTAGTGGCAGAGTGACATTTCTTTACTCCTATTCCATCGCTCTGTGTCCTTCTTCCTCGTAGTCCCTCCTTTTCACACAGGGACTCTTGGCTGTGCCAAAGAGAAGCCGTCACGCTGCCAAGTGCACAAACACGCACACACATGTCCAGGACATACAAATGATCTCAAATAAGATTATGTAATCCTACATTTCTTGAGCTTTCCCATTCTTCAGGGAAACACCTCATTTAGCAAAGCATGCCAGTAAACAACACAGACTACAGACACACACATTCAAGCAGCACTCAGCCCCGACCTTTAAACATTCTTACCATGTGCATCCAAAACCTTGTACTTAAATACACAGACACACGTCACAAACTTGCTAAGTGTGTTGCCTCATAACAAAGTCATTTTGAGCTTGTTTGTGTTGTTGTGTGTTTGCCAGATGTGTTCTTATACATTTCCCCTAGTCTTCTCTCCTCTCCAAAATGCAGAATCTTGCTCCGGTCAACTTTATATTTTTTCGTCCCTGTTTTCCATGTCCCCTTATCTCATCCCATTAGGCCTCAGATGGGGTTTTCGGAGCTGACAGAGGAGGAAAGAAAGTATGTGTGTTGAGACCTTAAGGTCTAAAAACCATCTGTTGTTGACTGCGTTCTCTGAAGTCGGGAGCTTAACGATAGACTGGGGTTAATTGTACCATAATATGTTACATTTGCTGTCACATGAACAGCACAATTTGGAAAAATCCAGCCATTCTTAGATAAAGCATCCGGTTGTTGTTATCGTTAGCTGGTAAAAAGTGCATTATTGAGATGAGTTACCTCTGTTTCAGGCTTTGATAAACATCTACACCTTTAGTATTTCAGAAGTTCATTGGTGTTTGGATCTTGGGGAAATATAAGTAATATATTTGGTTGAAAATAGTTGAGAATTAGCTAATCCCTGACTAATTACAGAGTTTTGTATTCATTTTGCTGAAGGAGAGCACAGTGACATTGTACCATTCTGCCAGTGCCTGCACATCTGGCTGTGTTTAGCAGGGTGTGGGCTAGCTAGCGCCATGTGGCTAAGTGTAGGGTGTTACTGTTCCAGCCCAGGCAGCCTAGGCCTTTTTAGGTCCAGGGATTTTCGAAGAAGCCCCAACCAAGCCACAGATTAGAGGACCAGCGTGCTCACATACAGCTGGCGTATGTGTACACTAAATACTATATGTGAGCATGCAAATGCTTGTTCATATTCATGTATTTGTTTGTAAGCTTCAGATTTAATGTGAGAATTATAGTGGTCTTTGTCTACATTATGTGTGTTTGTGGTTTGCACTTACTACTTGACACTTCTTCACGGACATGTATACTGTGTAGAGAGGTACAAACTAAATAATATATTGTTTCAAGCTAAGACGCAGCGTATAATGCAGATTAAGAACAAAGGAGGTGAAGGAGAGGACAGAGTGAAGATGAGACAGATGGAAGGGAAAAGATAAAGAGAAAAGGGGACAAGTCGTTAGAGCAAGGACGAGGGAAAGAGATAAACAGGTGGAAATTGAGAGTGGTAGCTAGAGAGAGAGAGAGAGAGGGAAAGGGATACACAGAGAAAGAGAGATGGCGGGTATATCTGAAAGTGAGAGGGAAAAGGTCAGAGAGGACACAGAGAGTGATGGCACCAAAGGGAGCTCTGTGTTAGATGGCCACCAGGTGTGTTAGACAGACGGAAGCCTTAAACCTGGCAGGTGGTGTTTGGCCTAATGGTGCCATCTCTAGCATCTGGATTCACTGTGTGTGTGTGTGTGTGTGTGTGTGTGTGTGTGTGTGTGTGTGTGTGTGTGTGTGTGTGTGTGTGTGTGTGTGTGTGTGTGTGTGTGTGTGTGTGTGTGTGTGTATTCACTTGTACTACTGCCTCATATAGCTGCATCTAAAGGCATACATTTCTGCTTACAAAACGTGAGGTCTTCCAACACCATGCCGTGATAAAAAAAAAGGTCAAATTTGGAAGTGGGTAAGACTTTTTGTGGCTAGAAATTAGATAAGTGAATCCATGCTTTTTCTTGATTATCTCAGTCTTTTGATGTTAGAAAACAAGTTAAAAGAACATTTAGCTGGGCCTGACCTCTTGTTTTTACACTGTTCATGGCTAGTGCTATGTTTCCAGAGATAAGGCTTAGTCAATTAACTGAAACTATTTCAAAAAATTGATTCATCAAAAAATGTGTTACTCACGTAAAAAGCCAAATGTTCTCAGATGAATATTTTAGGGACTTTTTAGAGATAACATGGTTTATGAGTCAGTCTTTTGTTTTGACAAGATAGATGAAATTGTAGATACAAAGAGATAGGGTTGCAGAAACTTGACTCATTACTCGCTTGTCTTGAATCATCATTACACAGATTGCACACACACGCACGCACGCACGTGCGCGCACACACACACGCACACGCACTCGCACACGCACACGCACACGCACACACACACACACACACACACACACACACACACACACACACATTCTTGCACAAGCACACAGTGTTTATAAGCAGCCAAATGCTTATTGGCCAGTATGTTCCAGCCAATTAAAGTTCAAGGCAGATCAGTGGTCATAGAGCTTAATCTGATTTGAAGAGTACTGGCTGGCTGACTTGCTTATGGGTAGACTCATTTCTAGATGACCAAGCAGGACACGCTTATTTATTCATTTAAGTAGCGCTCTGAACATCTCCCAGCTGGACTGTAAAGTAATTCCATCTCTTCCCATGGAGATAGACTGAGGGGAGTAATCTACGTGAATGACATCAAGTACTCTCTATTGCATCCTATCAGTTTCAGGAAACAGGCCCTAACCTTGGATCATAAGGCCAGGTCTGTCTTGCCATCACACGATAACTAGCAGCAGCCTGCTGAATTTCTTTTCAGATAATGGTCTGGCAGCTCACTGAGACCTCTAAAAAAACACACTGTAATACCAATAAGAACAGCTTGGGTCATAGGCAAGTGAAAATACATGCATTTATTGGTCAAAACTGTAATACATTTAAGTATATGACTATATTTAAATACCCTTTTACCACACTTAGCTACGGTGTTGATTTGTTTTCACGTCTAAAGCACGCAACCAATGCTTACTTGGATTGGACACTGGTGGCACACTCCACATCTTTGTTGAAATATTCCTTCAATTAAGCCACAGATTTAATTCACTACCACCTCCAGCCGCCTGCCTTCTAATTTCCTGCTTTCAGGGTCACCTCTGATGACATCATGAGAGACAAGGACATCTGCTCCCATTGTGGTGCTTGATTGGCTCAATTCATCTGCATGCAAATCACGTCGGCGGGGACCTGGAGTACACTGGCCTAATTATGCCAAACGCATAACTCAATAGGAGCGATGGCGCCTTAGAAGGATGAAATGAAAGACAGAGAAAACAAGACAGAGAGAAAAAGGAATGCAGTCTTTGAGAGGATGGTATCGGGGCAAGCAGTGGAAAGTTAGATGAGTTTGAGGGAAAAACAGAACCAAATGATATTGAGGGTAAGGAATGGCATGGGGTTTGGGAGGTAACAAGCATGGGAAAACCGATGCAAAATAGAACCAGATGGATAGAAGAAGAAACAGACATGGGTAAATGGTGCATAAAGGGAAAGTCAGAAGAGGGAAAGAGAGGAAGTGGAATAAAAGCTTCCACAGAGAGCCTGTTGATAAATGACATGCATTATGTGGCATGTCAGCTTGTTTAATCTAAGGGATATTTTAATAGCATCTAAATGCTGGCTAAGGGCTGGCAGAGCTCCTCGGGCTCAGTTTGTGTGTGATAAGTGTCGTTATTGATGGAGAGTCAGACTGACACATAAACAGTCTAATGGCTCCCATTTCGTCCTTTATGCATGCAATGCGCCCAGGACAGAATTCTTTGTTTGTGCCTATTATTTGTATTCTTTCATTGCCCCTCGCACAAGTAAGGAACTAAGAATGAAAAGCAGAGGATCCTACTTGTGGTTGGGGGTCTGTTCTGGAAAGGGAAAGTAAAACCAATCTGATGAAAATGCATAAGGAGTAGAGGCTAGTCTTGCTGTGCCTGAAATATTACAGCTCTCCGTTTCTCACTCTGACCGTTTTTTCTTAA